ACTGGGCCATCAGCCGGGTACTCTTCCTCCTTTGGGCACCATGGAGCGCTGAGGCTGCCACCATCATCAGGAACAGTATCTGCATGCCCCTCTGCCCCTCTGCCTGGCCTCTAGGGTCCCAGGTTCCTCTGTGCCTTTTCACACAGGAAGGTTTATATGTGATTCTAACACACCATTGAATCTAATGCGTACCACAATTTTGGCAATGCAATTTAGTCACAAAAGGTGAGCATCAGACTTGAGTAAATATGGTACTGTTGTACATTTTTAAAGAAGAGAGAAATGATGTCAAAGATGACAACTAAAGAGGATGGGGAAAAGCATAATATTCAAACCATTAAGCAATTACAGTTGTACAATTTCTACCTGCTTCAGTATGGGAGCACTACAAAAATTAATGGAAGTGTGTAGCAAGTAGGGTTTGGTGGGTGTCACTCAGGGTGATCAAAACAAACTGTAAATTTGGCAAGCAGTCTTGTATCTCAACTTCAGTAGCATAAACAGTATGTAATCCTTGCCACTGTTCCTATGCAGCCATTCACAATTTAAAATCATGACTGCACAATTCCTAGCTGAGCTGCAGGGGAGTGAAACAGGAGGAGCAGTGAGTAACTTGGTTTATTGATATTGATTAGCTGAACATTATGCTGAAGAGACTGGCATGGATGTGACGTTTCTACCCTGCTTGACCCAACCTTGGGCCCTCATATTGTACAACCATCCCAGCTGAGGGATGGCTCCAGGCACAGCCAAGGCAGTACCCATGAAATGATGATCACTGATCAAGGATTAGTAGGCCTCCAGGTGTTTTGAACTCCAACTCCCACAATTCCTAACAGCTGGTAGGCTGTTATGGAATTGTGGGAGTTGAAGTCCAAAACACCGGGAGGGCTGAGGTTTGCCTATGCATGCCCTATGATATACCTGCTGAACATGCACTACTGCCTATGTCAGGGGTCCCCAAACTATGGCCCGCGGGCTGGATCCGGCCCCCGAGGGCATCTATGTGGCCCGTGGGCTTTGGAGAAGGGTGAGAGGTGGGCAAAGGGGGAGGGAGGCGGCGGGCGAAAGGAGGGAGGTGGCAGGCAAAGCAGCTTGGGCCCGCTTTGCCTTCTGCCTCCGTGGTCCCAGGCTCTCCTGCCTTCGGGATGCAGCCTTGCCGCATCCCAGAGGCAGGAGAAGGGGGGAGGCGGTGGGCAAAGCAGCTTGGGCCCGCTTTGCCCACGCCTCCGTGGACCCAGGCTCTCCTGCTTTCGGGATGCAGCCTGGAAACTGTGTATCACTAGAATGTGGAGCAGGGGATGAAGTTTATTTTGCTCCTCAACAGCCTCATCTCTCTTTGTTTTGGGTACATTTCATAAACGTTCTTGGGTAGATAACAGAGGCGAAGATCTTTTCAGTGTTTATGTTCTGTGCCTTCAAGTAATTTCTAAATTATTATGGTTCAAATGGGGCTTCTCGGCAAGATTTGTATGCGGGTTGGGGTGGCCCTTTCATTCTCCTAGGCCTTAGAGCAGAGGTCCACAAACTTTTTAAACAGAGGGCCAGGTCACAATCCCTCAAACTGTTGGAGGGCTGGATTATAATTTGAAAAAAAACATGGATGAATTCCTATGCACACTGCATATATCTTATTTGTAGTGCAAAAAACACTTTAAAACAATACAATAATTAAAATGAAGAACAATTTTAACAAATATAAACTTATGTGTATTTCAGTGGGAAGTGTGGGCCTGCTTTTGGCTGATGAGGTAGGATTGTTGTTATTGTTTGCTTTCAAGTCGTTTCAGACTTAGGTTGACCCTGAGCGAGGGTCAGTAAATGACCTTGGAGGGCCGTATCCGGCCCCCGGGCCTTAGTTTGAGGACCCCTGCCTTAGAGAATGGGACTTGCCCAGTGCTCAGGCCATTCCACCACACTGGCTCAGCTTGGCTACAGAGGACTATTAGAATTCCTCATGTGAGGGGTTCCTAAGCACTGTTATACTTTCATTGGCTGCTTGTCTCAAGATCCTTCAGTATCTGTGTCAACTTGAACAGTGCTCTTATCTGTTCTTGTAATGATTTAATATATGGGTTGTTGTAGGTTTTTTCGGGCTATATGGCCATGTTCTAGAGGCATTCTCTCCTGACGTTTCGCCTGCATCTATGGCTAGCATCCTCAGAGGTAGTGAGGTCTGTTGCAACTAGGAAAATTGGTTTATATATATCTGTGAAATGACCAGGGTGGGACAAAGCACTCTTGTCTGTTGGAGCTAGGTGTGAATGTTTCAACTGACCACCTTGATTAGCATTTGATGGCCTGGCGGTTGTTTGGTGTGGCTTGTTGGTGCCTGGGGCAACCTTTTGTTTGTTGTTCTTTCTTTACTGTCCTGATCTAGAGGGTTTTGTTTTAATACTGGTAGCCAGATTTTCATTTTCATGGTTTCCTCCTTTCTGTTGAAATTGTCCACATGCTTGTGGATTTCAATGGCTTCTCTGTGTAGTCTGACATGGTGGTTGTGAGAGTGGTCCAGCATTTCTATGTTCTCAAATAAAATGCTGTGTCCAGGCAGGGACATCTAATTACCTCTCAACGCTTTGGGGGCTTCAGCCCCCCCCCCCGAAATTCTCATGTGGTCTGCGAGAAGGCCTTACTGGTACATTATTTAAACTGTTATGTTTATTCATATCATGATCTGATCACCATGCTCAATATATCCCATATGCATGGGGGTATTGGGGTAACGATACAAAAGGTTTGCTAGGGTAGACCCTCTTTCACTCAGACTCCCCCCCCCCCCCCCCGCTACGGGCCTGTGTGTCCAGGTTGGTTCATCAGGTGCTCTGCTATGGCTGACTTCTCTGGTTGAAGTAGTCTGCAGTGCCTTTCATGTTCCTTGATTCATGTTTGGGAGCTGCGTTTGGTGGTCCCTATGTAGACTTGTCCACAGCTGCATGGCATATGGTAGACTCCTACAGAAGTGAGAGGATCCCTCTTGCCCTTTGCTTATATATGTATCCTTTGCTTATATATTTAATATATGTATTCATTTGTGGAATTGTCCTTTGCTTATATAATATATGTATTCATTTGTGGACATTTCTCCCAATATACTGTAGTAACAATCATGTAATCACACTTTCCACCTTGTTCAGAATATATTGATATCCCCCTTCTGAGATGATTCTGCATCTTTTGGCTGCATTCTTGGCCTTCTATCAGGTTGGAAAACGTTGGTTCTGTTGTTGCTGCTGCTTCTTGTTTCATGGTCTTTCAAACTACTGGCTGTTCTTTCCCCTGCTGCCAAGCACCAACTTCACCTTGAATCTTTCTTGGGCCCAAATAAACCAACTTCCTTGGGTGTGACATTTTCACACTTAAGGCTTTCTCCTGGCCCTTCACTTGGGGCACTCTGCAATTGCCCTACCAAACTGGGACCAGACTGCCTGAATCCTGGCTTCTTTCACACAAGCTTGCCAAGGCCTGCAGATCTGAGGGAGGCCTGTCTCTTTGTCCCATCGATTTTGGAGTCACTCTCGGCAGGGATGGAAGGGAAGGGTTTCCAGGCACCATTTCATAACTTTGGAGGATAAGCTGACTTTCCACCCCCACCCCACATCAGTCCAACCTCTGGCCTTTTAGCTGCCTGGTTGTTGAGTGGCACCTTGGTTGGGCACCACTGCTTCTTTTTTAGAGACATGTTGTAAACGTGCTTTTAATCTTTCCAAGGTTTTAACTGCATAGGTGCAGGATTACCTTCAGGTGGCTTGATCTGACTTTGGGAGCGAAGGAAGCAGCGGTAGCCGCGATTAGTCCCTAGGCCCTTTCCACACAGCTGAAGGAAATCCCACATTCTCTGCTTTGGGCTGGGCTATGTGACAGTGTGGACTCCAATAACCCAATTCTAAGCTGACACTGTGGGATTTCTTGTCTTGATAATCTGGGTTATATGGCCGTGTGGGGAATGGGCCTTCGATGGGAGACATGGATGCTGAGGGCTGTATTTTCAGAGAATTGGAAGAATCATTTTTAAGTCTTTAGGGCCTTTAAAAAAACCCCTATGAAATTTACAGAGTCACCGAAATGAGCAGGCGACTTGAAGGCGGGTACAGACATATACTAAAAAACAAAACTGTGTGGACAGTTCGCCGCCCTTAACAGACACGCAACAAAGGGCCCGAGTGGGCTTCTTCTCCCCTTCGCCGCGTGGAAAACCCGTCCGGACTCGGGTCAAACAAGGACCCTGGGCCCTTTGGGCGACTCCAGTGGCAAGAAAGGCCTTGGGGCCACTCACTCCCTCCGGGGAGCGCCGGTTTGGTGTTGTTTGGCAGGGAGGGTGGGGTGGGGGGTCTGTCAGCTGAGGCTGGGGGACTCTCTCTCTCCAGGCTGCCCCACTCCTTCTCGCTCAGAGCCCAGCCATTCGGGTGGAAGCCAAGGCGGCAAGACGCTGCCCGGGGAGGAGGCGCGCAGGCAGGTTGGCTGGCTGGCTGGCTGGCTTCCCCGCCGGGCTCGCTCCTTGCCGGCTCCGAGTTGCCCATAGAGGTCTCCCTCCCACTGGCCGCCAAGTGTGAGGGGAGCCCCAGAGGGAGAAAGAACGCCTCGAGACCAAGGGAGGGGGGTGTCTTCGGAGGCGCCCCTTGTGCCTGACAGAAGGGGCCTTCCTTCCCCGCTTGGGGGCCCCGGCTTTTGCGGAAGGGGGGGGTCAGTCTTGGTGGTGGTTCCCGCTTGAGGAGAGCGGCGGGGCTGCCTGGGCGTGGGGAGCGGGCGGCGAGAGGGCCCCTCCGGTGGCCGTAGGACTCCCCGTCTCCTGGAGGAGGCTGTTCCTCCAAGGCGCCGGCCTCCCTCCACTTCCCCTGCGGCGAAGGAAGCCTTCCTCGGCTCCGCGGAGGCGCCCGAGTGAGTGTCCCTGCCCCACCTCCACCCCCGCCCCGCTCGCTCGCCCCATCTTCTCCCTCTCCTGCCTTCCTTCCCCCTCCTCTCCCCCCCCCCCCCTTCGCCGCCTTCCCCGCCGCCGCCGCCGCTCCACTTCCAGCCCCGTTCAATGAAGCAGCACAGATCCGCGGCGGCTCCGAGCGCGGTTTGGCAGGACGCGAAGGAGGTGGCGGTGCTGCTGCTGCTACTGCTGCTGGAAGAGGAGGAGGAGGAGGAGGAAGAGGAGGAGGAGGAAGAGGAGGAGGAGGAGGAAGGGGTGGCGGCGGCGGAGAGAAGGAAGGAAGCAAGCAAGCCAGGCAGGCAGGCAGGCAGGAACTGGCGGCAGGCTCGGCACCCGCAGGCAGCATCATCAGCATTAGCCGAGGCGTCTCGGGGCTCTGGCTGTGCGGGAGGGGACTTGGGTGCCCCCGGGCCGGATCCCCGCTCCTGCCCGCTTCCCCGGGAGGCGCTGAGCCAGGCCCCCCCCCCTCCGGCCCTAGAGCCCCCCTCCTCCTCCCTCCTCCTCCTCTTCCTCCCCCGGCCCTCCTCAACGTCGCCGCCTTTCTGCAGCGGACGCCAAGCCGGGAAGGGAAGGTAAGGAAGCGGCCGAGGCGGAGGGGCCGGAGCGGGGGCCTTCCTCCTCCTCCTCCTCCTCTTCCTCTTCTTCCTCCTCCTCCGCCGCCTTTTCCCTCCAGGCACCGGCGCCCCTCCCGCCTCAGCCGGCTTTTCCCAGCGAGTCAGCAGTCGCAGAGCGACCCTAGGCAGGCACACTCAGGCAGACACCCAGGGACACCATAAGCCGCCCCGAAATTCAGAAGACGGCGAGCCCTTTGGGGAGGGGAGCGGAAGCGGCCGAGATCGGGCTTCCTTAGCTTGATTTCATTTGCCAGTCAGTCCCTTCTTTGGAGATCTTTCCCCCCCGCGGAGAGCTCGTCACGTCACCCCGGGAAGCCCACACCTGCCGCTAAAACCACTTCCTAGTGTAATTGCCCCCACCCGCGGAAGAGCAGGCAGCCCCTTCAGAGAAAGTCTTCGTCATCTGCTCCCCTTCCTTCCTTCTTTCCTTCCTTCCCCGCAGGGCTAGAGGCTGAGCCCTCCCAGCCCCCTCCCCTGGAGGGCTTGTCCTGCCCCCCCGCCCCCCCCCACTCCGCTCTCCTCCCCAAGCCTGGCGCTCCCCATCCCTCTCTCCCTCCCTCTCTCCCCTTTCTCAGCCTGGCGTCCCCGTCTTCACCTCCCCCCTCCCGCCCTTAATCCGATTTCGCCCATTTCCCCCTTTAAACCGGCTGGCGCGACTGCCTGGGCTGGCAACTCTTGAAACTTCCTCGGTGCCCGGCGTGGTCCGCCTGATATGAACCCGAAGGGCAACCCACAGAGGGGGGCAGAGACACCGGAGGAAGCCTCTTGCGGATTACTTTTCTTTCTTTCCCCCCAGAAAGTCTCTCTAACGCCTTGCCTTCTCCCCCTTTAATTTCTGTTCTTCTTCTTCTCTCTCTCTTTGCCCCCCCCCTCCCCAACCCCGGTCTTTTTATTTATTTCATTATTTTTTTGGCAAGGAAATTTGCTCCATCTCCAGCAGCAACCACTGCTCCTTTTGATGTTGTGGTCCGCCGTGCGCATGCGCCCCACATTAGAATTACTGCACTGGCTCGACTAAGTTGGATCTCTCCTTCGCTTCCACGGAAACCTTAAAACCAGATCAAAAGCTAAAGGGATGCTGAGAGTCCGGAAAAAAGGCGGCTTTGGGATTTGGTCGTTGCCCTTAATCATCACCGTGGTGTGTGCCCAGAGGTAAGTCGGCGCCGGCAGAGGGGCTCCCTCCCTCCCTTCCCTTCGCCCTCCCTTCCCTTCGCCCCATCATCCCTGGGAATCGCACCGGAGGCTTCGGGGGGAACTGGGAGGATGGATGGGAAGGGGAGGGGGGGGAGAGTGGGAAGCATCGCCCCTTGGCTCATGTGTGGCATTTGTCTCCCCTTCCCCAGCGCGAATGATCCCAGCAATATGTCCCTGGTCAAAGAGACCGTGGATCGGCTCCTGAAAGGCTACGACATTCGGTTGAGGCCAGATTTTGGAGGTAAGTCAGTGAGGGGGGGGGGGGGGAGCCCTCCATGGCTCAGAGCCTTTTGGGGCGGGGAATGTGCCTGGATCTGTGCGGGGAGGGGGTTGAAAGGTGTTGTGGCCGCTGGCTGGAGCCTGACCCGAAGTTAATCTGACAAGGGAGGAGGGGGTGGTTTGCCTCCTTGGGGTGCCTGCCTGCCTGCCTTCGCCTGGACCCGGGCTTCCCTCCCTGGGAGCTCTGCTCAAGCCAGGACTCATTGCCTTGCTTTGGGCAAGAAGCCAAGCAGCAGCGTGGCCCCCGAGCCCTGGCTTCCCTTCTGGAGGCGAAGGTGGCCTTCCCGTCCCTTTCTTTCCCCTCCTTGGGAGTTTCAAATCCCGACACACATATAGAAATAGATACAGGGCAACTTTGCACTTTGGAGTTGCCCAGAGCCCTCTGATGAGCCAGGTGGGCGGGCAAGGGGTGGAAGTAAAGCCCCCCCCCCCCCATGCCATTTGTGTCTTTCTAGCCAACCTCTTGCCCTGAGATGAACACGGGTATGTGTCCCCGTAGGTATGTATGTTAGGGCTGAGGTCATGTCAGGGCCTCCCAGTACTTGTGTGGAGGTATAAAGGTAAAGGTTTTCCTCTGACATTAAGTCCAGTGCTGTCCGACTCTGGGAGCTGGTGCTCATCTCCATTTCTAAACCAAAGAGCCGGCGTTGTCCGTAGACACCTCCAAGGTCATGTGGCCGGCATGAATGCAGGGAGCGCCCATATGTAAGAACATCTAGGGCTGAGGTCAGGGCCCGTCCCACCCCTTCCTCTCCATCCCTCGGCCCCAAGGTGTGATATGAGCGATATCACAGCTGGACTTTCTTGTGTTGCAGGTCCCCCGGTGGCTGTGGGCATGAACATAGACATTGCCAGTATCGACATGGTATCCGAGGTCAATATGGTGAGTATTTTTTTTCTCTCTCTCACTCACTCTACACACACACCCCTCCCCCCCTGCTCCATGTTTGAATAAAGAACACCCTGTGTGTCGGGTTGTGTTCTGCGTGGTCCTGTTCCTTCCGCCTGACTTCCCCCTCCTTGGCCCCAGGGGGTCCCTCTTCTGCTCTCCCGATTCCAGTGAATTAGGCCGCGGCTTCCCATGGCTTTGCGTAGATGAAGGGAGGAGGAGGACCACTGGGGAAGAATGCCTCCAGGCATTGGCTTCAGGCCGGCTGAGGCTTCTGAAAAGCCGGCAAAAGCATCCACACATGATTTGGGGATGGCCTTGAAGAGGGGGAAGGCACACAATGGCTTGAAGGAGTGGGGGAGGCCTCATTTGAATACCTGTACGGGTCACGGTTCAACATTATGGCTTGCAGCGTGTGAGGAAGCTTGCCTGATTTATCGAGAGCCTTACTATTTGGCAGGTACCGTTTGAGACCTCCAGTTCAGCCAGCTCGCGATGGAGAGACTTGGGGAAAACCATTCTGGCCTGCTTTTGCTTCATGCAGGAGCGCCCCCTGCTGACACTGGCTCGCAGTGCGGCTCAAAGTCAATATTATTTTTACATTTTCATTGACTGGGATGCTTAATTAGGTAGGTTTAGCTACGGTCGGGTGTGAGTGGAAACTGAGAGGAGAGTGATACCCTCAGCCAGAAGGTTGGCCTCGGCTGGCTTCAAAACATTGCCTTGATCTTTTCATTGTCTTGCCGCTTTCGACGTGTACACAGGCCTACTTTTGCATCCAAATATAGCTCGTGGAAAAGCAGGTGTGGTCGTATTTTGGAATGAACTCCTATACTTTATACTTAGTTTTTTTTTTAAGTTTCTAAAATGGTTGGAGAAGTCATGGAAAATCTTAATGAATTTGTGTTTGTTAGGCCTTTTGATGCAGAAAACATCCCAGAAAATGTTTTTGATATTATAATAATAATGTTTTTACACAGCAACTAAGTGGTCTGCAAGATGTGTCAGACTGAATTGATAAAAAGTCAATTTGTACAAGATCTCAACTGTTCTGTTCTGCTCGTATGTGAAGTGAGCATGATGCCTCTTCAAAACCTTTTCATTATTAGTAGCCAAGCATTTTAAAAAAGCAGGGCCCCCCTTATCTACACTGGTTCTTGCTAAACTATGGATGAGAATCTTTGGCATCCAAATGTGGGAGTATAGTTTGCATCGTGTCTCACCACTAACTCTGGGCCCTTCCAGACAGGCTCTATATCCCAGGTTTTCTGTTTATCCCAGATTATCTGGCAGTGTGGACTCATATAATCCAATTTAAAGCAGAAAACCTGGGATCAGATCCTGGGATATAGGGCCTGTCTGGAAGGCCCTCCCTGTTGCCTAGGACAGCTGGACTTGACCAGCATCTGAAGATCTAAACAGTCTCTACTCCTGAGTTAAAGCATCTCAAACCAACTAGTAGCTTGAATATTGTATAATCAAACATGTGCACTGATAAGATAATCCATTCCACATTTACTGTGTGAGTTCGGTTTCATTACTACACACACACATATGCTTTTAAAATGGCTATTCACATTTGTTACGGTGACTTGAAATGTCTGGTTCTTTGGCCTACTGGTCATGACTGGAAGAAATTATGTAATGGTTCTTTTCCATGCACACATTGTTTCTTCTTCTTCTTTAGCTCCAAAAGCTCAATGGGACATTTAAAGTAATGTAGTACTATAAAGCAGACATATATGCTTGTGTTTATGTTACAATTCTGTTTGATTCACGTTCATGGTATTAGCTACGTATCTCAAAAAATAGGTTGGCCTTACTTTTTTTTCCATCCTGAAACCATAAGTTTGTTGAAGGTATCTAGTGAGACGGAGATATAAATATATCTTTTCCCTTTATACTGAGCATTGATTTCAGATCCCTGTCAAATGTAAAATACATTCAAGGAAGATTTATCTACAAGGCCAGCAAATAGAGTGATATTTTGACACCATCTAACCTGTCAGTAGGAGCCCCCAATGGTACAGCTGCCAAAAGGCTGGCAGTTCAGATCCAGAGAATGGGGTGAGCTCCCACTGTTAGGCCGAGCTTCTGCCAACCTAGCAGTTCAAAAACATGCAAATGTGAGTAGATCAATAGGTACCACTTTGTTGGGAAAGTAACAGCACTCCATGCAATCATGCTGGCCACATGACCTTGGAGGCGTCTATGGACAACGCCAGCTCTTTGGCATAGAAATGGAGATGAGGCCCCCCCCCCCCAGTCAGATATGACTAGACTTAATGTCAAGGGAAAACCTTTACCTTTTTACTTAACCTATCAGTACACTAATAATAATAGTAACTACCACATACATAACACAATATGTCTTAGTGTTTTCAATTTTTAATTTATTCAGGAGCTTCATATATTACCAAATGGAACCCACATCTGCAGAATTAGTGCTTTTTGGGGGAAAAATCAATGTAATTGCTGATGTCACGCTGGTGTATTTTGTTCAATTTGCTGACTATTTTTAGAAGGATAGGATAGAGTCTCTTCCATGGTCTTCAGAAGTTATAAGAGTGAAACTTTCAGCATTTGACAAAGGATGTGAAAAGCAAATCTCCTATTTAAAACATTGATGATATATATAAACTTCACTTGGATAAAATAATTTGTAAAGTTTGATGTATTTAAGTGGGTGTGGCTGTGGACCAAACCAGATTTCACGTATTTACACATGAAATGCTATCTGAGAGAATGTGCTATAATTTTTCATTTTATTGTTTTTATGGGATTTCATCTACTGTTCTGTTGCTTATTTGACTTGGTGCCTAAAAGAATGACTTTGACATCATAGGCCAAAGCTATATAAACGAATCCTGTACATTTGATAGTATTATACTACTGCTGCTGCTGCTGCTGCTGCTGCTACTACTACTACTATTACTACTACTAATATAACAACCACTCGCATCCTCCTGGTTTCATGACTTATCACAGAATAAGGAGTAAGCTGTGAGATCATGCATGACCCTTACCAAAAGCACCTCCTCCCATCATGTTCAGATTTCTCCTCTAGTTTGGATACATTATCTGGTATTTGCTATGCTATCAGTGTTTGAAGCTACTTTAAAATTCTGGTTAAGGGCAGCTTTGGTTAATTTTAGTCACAGTTACCATTGTGCTAGTGTAATACTTTGATCAATGCTTGACATGGAAAGCTTGTACATAACAAGAGAAGGGCTGCAGGAGAGAAACCTGTGGTTTGCACTTGGTTCATCATGATGGTTATGGCTAGACAGTTGGGATGGGCAACTTTTTAGATTGTCTAGGTCCTTGAGGATAGCACCATAAAATCTGTGATCAATGATTCTCAAATTTAAAAGGATATATAAGAATCTCTTTAAAATCCAAATTATACTTTGGTTTTCTCTTTTGGAAAAATAATGCACATCCTTCTAAACTAGTATTTGAAATGAATGAATGTGTGTGTATAATTAAAATTAGTTTCCATTTACTTTTCCTAAATTCAATAATTTTCACTCACTATTAACAAAGAATATTATGCACTCATATTTTATTATTCTTAATTATATATATATAAATAAACATAAAATATACCTAAATGACTTTAGTTAGAACTGTCCTGAGTGTTTTTATTGAAGTAAAGTGACTGCAATATTGACTAGATTATTGATTGTTCCATTCACTAAACTGCCTCCTATTTTTCTTCCTATTGACTCTAGTGTAGTTAACTGTTTGCTGTCAGATTTTAATAGAAAAGATATGCCATGAATTTTGTTTTGATTGCACTAAAGGGTTGTAAAAATGAGAGCAGTCCTTTGTTTGCCCTGCTACAATACAGTCTTCACTTACTCAGGAAGAATTCACATTATATTGTAAGGCAGTGGTTCTCAACCTGGGGTCCCCAGATGTTTTTGGCCTACAACTCCCAGAAATCCCAGCCAGTTTACCAGCTGTTAGGATTTCTGGGAGTTGAAGGCCAAAAACATCTGGGGACCCCAGGTTGAGAACCACTGTACTAAGGTGTACTTTTGAGTAGTCCTTAATGGGAGTGAGGTTGTTCTTTCACAGGGCCTTGAAACATGAAAGGCCCTTCCAGACAGGCCTAAATCCTGAAAGGACCTCGAATTTAAAATTCCAGTTCCTCTCAGGATTTAGGCCACACAGTGGGTCTAAATTCCACAATTTTCATGTGTGGGGGGTGGCTGGATGACCTCCCAGGTCGATTAGATTTCCCCCTCACCTCTCCAAATGTCCTGACACATCATTTTAATGTGACGGGAGCTTATTCCATGATGCCTGCGGAAAGAGGCAGGTCTCTCCAGTAAGTTTAGGGTTGAAATAGAGTTGGCAGGGGAGGGTGGCAGTGCCATTCTGGTTTTTTGGGCTTATAGAGCCCAAAGAACTGGGATGACAGTTGGAATTGACCCTCAGGATGACAGAAGGTGGTCCCAAGAGTCAACCCCTGCAGGCCCAACACCTGCAAAGATACGAATCTTATTGAAAGGAAATCCAGGTTTACTCTGAGCTAATCTAGAACCCATCATGGATTTTGGTCCTGTGTAGAAGGGACTGAAGTGTAGTCTCTAGTTTGCACTTTGCTTAATGTAGAACTTCACTAGTTTTTATTGATACTTGTAATCTTCTTCTTATTCCAGTCCTCTGGTGTTCATGGTAAAATATTATAATACTGCACGTGGAGGTACAAATTGGTGACTTTGATACCACATTTAATTTTTATGGTTTTATCCTATGGCATCCTGGAGTTTGTAGTTTGATGAGGTATTTGGAAGTCTCCTGCAGAAGACTGCAAGGGTTTAGTTCAAGGAATACATAAGGAAATTCATAGTATCTCACAAAATCCAAATTCCAGGATTCCACAAGATGAAACCATAATAGTTAAAGAGGAATGAAACTGCTATTACTGTGCAGCGTGGAACACTTATGTCAAGAATGGAGAAAAAAATTGCCCCAAACATTTCATGTGATTTTTGGCCATGCATGCTCATCCATATCACAGCTGTCTATTTTTCTCTGGAGAGAAATGGAGAATCTTCTTTCCATCTCTTGACCGAGCAATCCTGATACAGTATGATCTTTGTGGACAAAATAAAGCTATTTACATGAGAATCTGAGGGAGGCAGTAAGGAATTAGCACTCAGAAATAAGGAATATGATGTTGTCATCTGGTACTCAAGTGGGAGGGGAACTACATTTCAAACTGGATTTTCCATGGAAAATTTTACATAGAACAGAGAGAGTTGACTTTGACCTTTAATGATGCCATGAATTCACCTCATGAGACCTCCAACTCACCCTGTCATCAAAAGCCTTGCTCAGTTCCTGGAGACTCGGGGCCATTCCTTCCTTAATTGAGTCTATCCATTTGGAATGTTGTCTTCCTCTTTCATTACTTCCTTCTGCCTTATCAAGTATTATTGTCTTTTGAGTTAGGTCTTCCAATGGTATGTTCAAAGTACAACAGTCGCAGTTTAGTCATCATGGCTTCTATAGAGAGTTAAGGCTTGATTTCCTTTAGGACCCATTGCAGTCCATGGTATCCATAGACCTTTTCTCAGCAACACATTTCAGATGAGTTGATCTTCTTCCTATCAGCTTCACAGCCCAGCTTTTATATACTTACATAGAAATGGGAAATATGATGTCATGGGTCATCCTAACTTTAGTGTTCAGTTGCATATCTTGACACTTCAGGGATTTGTCTAATTCCTTCATAGCTGCCCTTCCAAGTCCTAGTCTTCTGATTTCTTGACTGAGCCAAGGAATGGGTAATCTTGAAATTCTATATTTCAGGGACTTCATAGTCTACGTTAAAGTTTTATAAATCATCAGTGGCCATTCTTTTTGTTTTCTTAATATTCAACTGTGAACCTGCTGTCACCCCTTACTTCCTTGACTTTTATCAGGAATTGTTACAGATCCTCACTATTCTCTATTAATTGTCATTTGTATATCTTAAATTGTTCATGTTCCTTTCTCCGATTTTCATACCCCCTCCCACTGAGCCTACTTTTGTTTTATCTTTGAGATACATTCAGCATATAAACAGATAGGGTGGTAAAATGCTTCTTTGGCCTGAACTTTTTGCCAATTGGAAGCCATTCAGTTTCTCCGTATTCTGTCCTAAGAGTAGTCTTTATCCTGACTACAGATTACATATACGTAGATGTATCCATTGTTCTCAAGACTATCGTCATACAATCAGTCATGTTAGATGCACTAAATATGGGGTATGAATTCCTGGTTTTTCTTTTAAGGAGACAAACATTGGCAAACCCTAGAGTTCAGAGGAAGAGACTAGCAAAGGAGCATATTGTAAAGCTTGTTTCCACTTTGCAAGATCTCTTGATTCTCAGTCCATTACAAGGCATAATATAAGTTTCCTACGCCCACAAACCTCATATTCATTCTTTAATGAAAGACAGTGTTCAGTTAGTTGCAGTCAGTTTTTCCCAGCTTGTTAATGAAACAGGTAAGCAGTGAGCTAATATGAAGGTACTATGGATATAATTCAGGAAAAGATATCTAATAGTTCTTTGTCGTGTCGTCTGTGAAATGAGCACTGATGGGTCTTCCTGTGCGCCTGCGCAGAAATTCGGAATATACTATAGCTTTAATTGAGTTTTTTTAACCTATAAGAAGCCCCGCCCACCCACCCCCGCACGTATAAAGGACCCACAGAGTGGTTTCACTTTAGTTCCTTTTCCGCGCGACAGCAAGTACTTCGGTCTATGCTATTCTATCCCTGCTTACTTCTCTGGTTATTGGACTCTTTTTCTGGCTTCTGACTACGCTGACTTCTCCTTCCCTGACCCTGGACTGTCCTGGATTCTTCTCAGGCTAGATGGCTACTTTATTTTTTAAAAACTGTTCGGCTTGTGGGACTACCCTCCCCGATGCCGATAGGCACTCGAAGTGCCTCTTATGCCTGGGCGAGTCTCACAGCCCCCGGTCCTGTGAGATCTGCAAAAGCTTTACAACTAGAGCTCGTAAAAGCAGAGGTGCCCGTCTAAAAGCTCTACTATATGAAAGAGCTCTGGCCCCGGAAGCCCCTTCCACTTCCGCGCGCCACGTGGCTGAGTCCCAATCCCCTGATATACAAACAGCTCAGCCTCCCTCTCCTGCTGGAGATAGGCTTGACTCCAATTTACCCTCTGCTTCCCTTGCGGAGCCTTTGAGGAAAAAATCTAAGCCTTCCAAACAGGCTTCAAAATCAGGCAAATCAAAAGAAAAAAATACCAAACAGAAAAAGGGACGGCAACTCACTGGCACACAGCCCTTGAGCCCTCCCCCTCTGGATCCGATGCCTCAGCCACTCTCCTCTCCCCACCATGTGCAAGAGTCGCTGGCGTCCTTCCTCCAGATTGAAAACCCTCCCCAACTCCCCCCCCCCTTGAACTCCTTTCCACTCACCTTCAGGGACAAGCCTCGCCGGATCCGGCTCTCTCGCCGCCTCCGCTTCCTCCCTCCCAGTCCTCCGCCCCTCCCAACTTGATTAGCCCTGCTCCTTCGGTACCGATGGTTTCCACTCCTCAAGAACTTCCCCCCCGGAGAGAGCATTCCTCGCGGAACCGCCGTTCCGCCTCTTCTGAGCGCTCCCAAAGCCCTTCCCCACCTCCTCCTAAGCGCGCGCGCGCGCACCCTCCCCAACTCATCCCTTATCCTTATCCAGATTATCCCTACCACATCTACCCTCCTCCTCCTCCATACCCAGCCTATCCCTTTTACTATCCTCCTCCAGATCACTATGGAGAACAAGGGCCTGCTGATCCTCATCTACATAGGCCCTCACACCCTCAGCCCTCACGTGTGCCCCCCTCGGCCACCATTTCTCGCCCTCCCCCACACCCTCAACCAATGGAGGAGGATCCTCCTCCAGAGGATTCCCCTCCCCCTCAACCTGACTCTGATACTATTGAACTTGGTTCTCAAGACGATACCCCTGCCTTCCCTGATCCTCAGCCTGACTCTGATATCACTCCTCAACAACTTCAAGATTTCAAAAATTTCTCCGCCTTGCTAATTAGGCTTTCTAGGGCCCTTAATTTGTCCATTCCTGAACCTTCTGATACAGTTCAGGATCCTTGCTTCACCACTTCTGAACAACAGCCCCCTATATCGACCTCCCTACCTACCCTACCTTACCTTCTAAAAATCCTGAAGACTACTGGGATTGTACCAGCTCTTGTGCCAGCTACACCCAAAAGAGCAGAAAATCTTTACCGTATTGACCTTACTTCTGCATCATGGCTCTCTAAGATGCCTAAAGCAAATTCTATAGTGACAGATGCTCAACCAAAACCTATATCACTCCTCAACAACTTCAAGCTAACCAATCCTCCCCTTCGGTTAAAGAAGGGAGGAAACTGGACACTATGGCCAAAAAATTTTACTCCTCAGCATGCTTGTTTGCACGCATGGCTCACTATGGAGTCTATATGAGTGTCTATCAGACTCATCTCTGGAATAAACTGACTCCTTACTTAGATCTCCTTCCTACGACGGATCAGCCCTTAATTAAGGCCTTCCACCAGGAAGCACTACTACTGTCTAAATTACAAAAAGACCTTGCAAAAAATACTTCTGACACTTCTGCTAAACTCATTGCTGGCTCAGTGGCCTTGCATCGCCATGCCTGGTTACGTGCTGCTATCCTTTCTCCATCACAGCGCACACTAATTGAAAACCTCCCAATGGATGAGGCAGGCCTCTTCAATCCAGATACAGATTCCCAACTAAAACACTCTCATGAGATGAAACAGACAGTAAACAAATATGGCCAACAATCATATCCCTACCAACAAAAACACAGATGGGGTCCTTACTACCAACGACCCCAGTTCTATCACAGACCCTACTACTCCTCCTTCTATAGGGGAAGAAGACCGTACTCATCGACTCTACCTACAAGAAGACCTCCTCTACCTGCCAGGGGTCAGTACTGTGGTACCAGGCCACCTAACAATAACAAACGTCGTTTTTAGCAAACAATGTGATTCTAACCCTCCCCCAACCCCTAACCCCACCACACCCTCTCCCTCCTACCTTGACAGACTTCAACCGTACCTCCCCGCGTGGCGGGCCATAACCTCTGACACCTGGGTGCTAGATATTGTTAATAGAGGCTATGCTATTGAATTTCACTCCTACCCCCCGACGGGCAAGATCATACTTACTGAATCTTCCCCTGTCATCTGGGAAGAAATTACCTCCCTTCTCCAAAAGGGTGCTATTTCCTCAATCCCCTCATGTGAAGCTTCATCTTGCTTCTTCTCCCGCTACTTCCTTGTGGATAAACGGGATGGAGGACTCCGCCCTATCCTAGATTTACGTAAAATCAATACCTTTATAACACCTCGTAAGTTTCGGATGGTCACTCTTCCCAACATACTTCCCTTCCTCCCAGAAGGAGCGTGGTTAGCAACCATAGACCTCCGAGATGCATATTTCCATATCTCAATTCGACCCCAACATCGCAAATTTCTCAGTTTTGCAATAGATGGCCAAATATTCTCATTCAATGTGCTCCCTTTCGGACTTTGTACCTCTCCCAGGGTGTTTACTAAATGTATGACTGTTGTAGCGGCACATCTCCGCCAACAGGGGGTTACGGTCTTCCCGTACCTGGACGACTGGCTTTTGTGTTCTAGATCTCACTCTGAACTGTCATCTGACATTCATTACACTTTATGTCTTCTACAGGACCTGGGCCTGATTGTGAACCAAGAAAAATCTCACCTTCTCCCGTCTCAACGAATACAGTTTATAGGAGCTGTCCTCGACTCTACGCTCCGAAAGGCCTACCTCCCAGAAGACCGCCTAAACAACCTTCGACAAGCCATTCTGGACCTCCAGAATCGCAAGTGCGCCTCCGCATGGGCCATCCAGTCCATCCTTGGCCATATGTCATCTACCACCACTGTTACTCCCTTCGCCCGTCTACGGCTACGACCCCTCCAAAATTGGTTCCTCAGAGTGTTCCGTCCACACAAGGACTCCCAAAACACTATCCTCCACCCCCCCCAGCTTGTCCTCGACTCCCTATCATGGTGGACAAAGCGATACAATGTGAACCGGGGAATGCCCTTCCACCCACCCAGGCCGTCCATGGCCCTCACGACCGATGCCTCCACATCGGGATGGGGGGCACACATAAACGACCTCCAGATCAGCGGCCGCTGGTCGAAACCAGAGCGTCAGCTACACATCAACGCCCTAGAACTCATTGCAGTGGAAAAAGCACTGAGAGCCTTCAAACCAATTGTATACAATCACACAATCCAGGTAGTGACGGACAACACCACCATCAAATACTACCTCAACAAACAGGGCGGAACACACTCCCAGACCCTGCTCTCCATAGCGACCCGCATCTGGGAATGGTGCATAGAGGAAAGAGTTTTCCTGATCGCCATTCACCTTCCGGGTCAAGACAACACTCTGGCCGACTCACTGAGCAGGTCCACACAGACCAACCACGAGTGGCAGCTTCACCCATCCAAGTTCAAAGTCATTTCCAATCTCTGGGGCATGCCCCAGATAGATCTCTTTGCATCACCGACAAACACTCACTGTCCCCTGTTTTGCGCACGACTCCCCCCTCGCGCATTCCCAGGTTGCCTCGGAGATGCATTCCTCTTCCAATGGAACCCCGGCCTATTATACCTCTTTCCCCCCCTCCCGCTCCTATCCTCGGTTATAGCCAAAATAATTACAGACAATACAAATTGCATTCTGATAGCACCATGGTGGCCCCGCCAACCATGGTTCACTCCACTCCTCCAACTCTCTCAAGGCCAATTTCTCCGGCTCCACCTATCCCCAGATCTTCTCACGGTCGAAAACGGCCTAATACAACACCCGGACCCACACTCCCTTCACCTAACCGCGTGGAGGATCAAACCACGCTGACGCTTTCTGACAGTGTGTCCCGCATAATCCTAGCAGCTCAAAAGCCGTCCACACATAAAGCATATGCTTACAAATGGACCACCTTTAAATCATTTGCTGAAAGTACAGGCCGAGCCCCCTCTGTGGCCTCCATCCCATTGATATTAGATTTCCTTTCTCACCTAGCCTCTAAAGGCTTCTCCTTTTCTTCAGTTAAATGTTACACATCTGCCCTGTCTTCCCTTAGACGGAAGAAAGACTTGCCGTCCCTTTTTCAGGATAACCTTGTTCAATTGTTCCTCAAAGGCTACAAAAACCTATACCCTCCAGTTTCCCCCCCTGCCCCTTCATGGAGCTTAGAACTAGTTTTATCCCAGTTATCTAAACCACCCTTTGAACCTATGTCTTCCGCTCTAATATCCCATTTGTCATGGAAGACTGCTTTCCTAGTGGCTGTTACATCAGCAAGGAGGGCAAGTGAGCTCTCTGCCCTCCGAGCTGACCCTCCTTATGTTCGTTTTCATGAGGACAAAGTAGTCCTCCACACAGATGTTACCTTCTTGCCTAAAGTGGTCTCCTACTTCCATATGTCCCAGGACATCACTTTACCGGCCTTTTTTCCTAACCCGACCTCACCGTTAGAGGTCACACTTCACTCGTTAGATGTTAAAAGAGCACTTTCTTTTTATATACATAGGACAGCATCATATAGGAAATCCCCTAGACTCTTTCTTAAATACAGAAAAGATGCCATGGGTCAACTAGTGACTTCCCAAAGACTCGCCTCATGGATTATATCTACTATTAGACTGGCTTATCAGCTAGCAGGTAAAGAACTACCACTCCACATTACAGCCCATTCTACTAGGTCAGTCTCTACATCTCAGGCTTTCCTTCGTGGAGTACCTCTTGACCAGATCTGCAAGGCAGCAACTTGGTCCACGCCATCGACGTTCGTGTCTCATTACAAACTTGACCTGGCGGCTAAGAAAGACGCAGCCTTTGGCAGAGCCGTACTCTTCTCCTGTGTGGCATGACCCACCTCCAGGTCAGTAGCTTGCTATTCTCCCATCAGTGCTCATTTCACAGACGACACGACAAAGAATCATAAGTTGCTTACCTGTAACTGTGGTTCTTTGAGTGTCGATCTGTGAAATTAGCACGAACCCGCCCATCCTCCCCTCTATGTCATGCCTTTCTGGTTTTTTCCTTGGTTGCTGTCTGGCGCTAAGGAACTAAAGTGAAACCACTCTGTGGGTCCTTTATACGTGCGGGGGGGGGGGGGGGTGGGCGGGGCTTCTTATAGGTTAAAAAAACTCAATTAAAGCTATAGTATATTCCGAATTTCTGCGCAGGCGCACAGGAAAACCGTATCCGACTCAGGATTGGTGCTCACCTCCATTTCTAAGATGAAGAGCCGGCATTGTCCGTAGACACCTCCAAGGTCATGTGGCCGGCATGACTGCATGGAGCGCTGTTACCTTCCTGCCAGAGCAGTACCTATTGATCTACTCACATTTGTGTGTTTTCGAACTGCTAGGTTGGCAGAAGCTGGGGCTGAAAGCAGAAGCTCACACCTCTCCCTAGATTCGAACCTTTCAGTCAACAAGTTTAGCAGCTCAGCCATTTAACCCATTGTGCCACCGGGGGCTCCTAGATAGATAGATAGATAGATAGATAGATAGATAGATAGATAGTGTTTTCCACATTATTACAAATATTCCAATCAAATAATTTCTGTATAAAGCTTTGAATATGTTTGAATATAACATGCCTGAAAATGTGCTAAATCATAACATTATTAATGGAACAGAAGAATTTTTGAGTTCTACTTTGTCCCAGAAAATCAAAATAACTTGTAAAGTTTCAGTTAACACCGTGGACTTATTTCTGTGTAATCAGGCATCGGCTTGGCCTGTAAGATTGTCTAACAAAATAATGATATAAAATTGTTGACTATTTTGTCCATTTTCTTCTTTATACTCAGAACAGTTTGTTTTGAAGTTCATAGCTGTGTTTGACCCACACTCGTGTAACATAGTAATTATGCAAGAGCTTTTCAGAGTTCATTGTTATTTAATATTGGCCTTTAGCTTGCTACTGCTTATAAGTGCTGATGCAAAGCTATAGTGTGCAAAATTATGAGGTTTAGGACGTTTCCTTGATATACCTATCACAGACTTATATAATTTCTCTTCTTTTCCTGGTAAAACATTTATAAAGTGGCTGAGTAATTATTTTGCAGAGGTGGAAATCCATTTGAAATGGCATTCAAGCAATCATAATATGACTGACATATGGGGAGCAGACAGGCATTTTTCCTTAACAGGACTGATAAAAAGAAGTGGCTACAATTGACAGTTGTTATGAAACTGTGCTGTGATAATTGTAGTGATGACAAACAGTTTTAGTAATGTTAAAATTGTCTTTTGAAACCCTGGACAGACACATAAAAAGCTAAGGAGTGTTTGTAAATCCTTTTAAAAACTCTATATGATTGCCCGTGTGAAACCATTCCAATGAGATCACATGAAAGCCCTGACTAAATAGATTTGTATTTCAGTATCTTATTGTTACTCAGAATTCTTGTAAAAATCATACTGCTATAATGCTGTAGTGCAAAAAGTTCTTTCTAAGCAGACTGCTTCACCCAAATTGGAAAGTGTGGATTGGTGAGTTTTCTTCTGAGCTAACAGATGCTGTGGGAGACTGTATATCTGGCAAATGTAGGGTGTTTTTTTCCATGTCAGGAGCAACTTGAGAAACTGCTAGTCGCTTCTTGTGTGACAGAATTGGCTGTCTGCAAAGACATTGCCCAGGGAATGTCTGGATGTTTTGATATTTTACCATCCTTGTTGGAGGCTTCTCTCATGTCCCTGCATGGGGAGCTGAAGCTGACAGAGGGAGCTCATCCATGCTCTCCCTGTTGGTCTTCAGTCCTGCCGGCACAAGGATTTATCCCATTGCGCCACCGGGGCTCCTGGGCAAATGTTACAGCTGAAGGCATGATGTCTGAACTCAACCTCCAAGACTAATGTAGGCTGCCTGCATCCATACTATAGAGTTAATACAGTTTGAGCTCACTTTAACTACCATAGCTATGGAGTCATGAGAGTTGTGGTTTTACAAGGTGTTTAGCCTTCTCTGCTGAAGAGTGCTGTTGCTTCACCAACCTACCAAGCCCAGAATTCCATAGCATTGAGCCATGGCAGATAGTGGTGTCAAACTAAATTGATTCTACAAAGCATATGCACCTTTACTGGATCCTAAATAAGACTGAACCCAGCCTCCATGCTTCAGTTATACAGTTATGACATAATTCTATTTTAACTACCTCCTTCTTATTCCTGGGCTTTGTAGTTTGGTCAGGGACACTATAGGAATTTTCCAGGTAAGAATTCTAAAGGCACTTTCCTCCATTGCCAGTCCCATGAAATTACAATTTTTCCAGTCAACGAATGTTTGAATATTCACAGGACACAGGTCATATATTGTGAGTGCATGTGTCTATAAAATAATTAAAAATATCCAGTTATGAAGAAAGTTTTCCAAAGCTCACTTTGGCTTGTAAATGTATTTCCTTAGCACCATTTTCCCCAGTCTATTTGGCTCCTCCAAGTTTGAACACCATGGCCATGTCCAAAGACGTTTACTGCCAGAGACAAGAATCCTGAGATCTGTGTTCATTGTGACTTGAATGGATTCTGTCTAGAAAAATAAGCAACTGAAGATATGAGTGTTTAGGTGCCATAAACTCTTCAAAGCATGCTTAGATACCTTCTGCATATCAGTGGGGATTTAAACGTGAAGTCTTCAAAATATAATGCTTGCCATCCCAGTGGTTTGTCTTCCCGTTTGGGAAGAGTGGGAACCAAAGGTAAAACTGGGTTCAAGGTAGTTTGTGTCTGGTGGACCCATTTCTACTTTTTGAACATTCAAAGAATGGCTTGGTAAATCTCACATTTTATCAGATAGCATAGAGGGGGAAATTCATTAGACCAAATCATAGTATAATGCTTAGTAGATAATGCTTCAGTGTTTCATCCATAAAGCAATTGGAAGTGTTCCTGTTTAGTTATATGCTGTTCTGTTAAGAATGCATTCGTTTGACCATTGTTTCCCTCCTCAAAATGTATTGAAACAATTAATAATGTTAGAGTCATTTCTGACAATTTTGAAAGAAATGTTTATTTCAAATGATCTCACAGGCAACACCCTACTTCTTGTTGTGAATACAAATTTAACATGGCTTATTTTCTGGAAACATGGTAATTTGTTTAGTGAAACCTATACTGTTTGAAGAATTTATTGGCATTCATTGAAATTATTTGGTGAAGGAATCTCAATATACAATAAAAGCAGAATAAATTATAAAGAAAGTGAAAATGGCCCTCCTTAGGGAAGATGGATGATCATATGATGGTTTAAGAAGCCAATATGTAAGTAAGTCTTTTGCCCTCCTTTTGTTCTCCCTTTACACAAGGTTTAGCTAAACCAGTCACTTCCTGATTCACCATGCATACTTATTTTGTCTAAAACTTAGAAAAAAGTCAAGCCCTTAAACTACAATCTGAAATTGATTTACAATCCTATCTGTCTGAGGAGTTGGAAACTATCATTTTTTGGTTTGGATTACATGGGAAACTAGGACTGAGGATTGCATTCATTGTGTAAGGAAAGTGAGAGCACTGTGTATAGAAGCAAAAATTTCACTCTTTTATTTATAAATGGAGATATTGTAACACGAACTCGGCCTCTATTTAAACATGAAAAACTCATGTAGTATTTAGCCCTTTCTAAGCTAGGATTGAAAAACATGACCAGAGAATCAACCTTTACATAATAAAATCATCTGAAGAAAGGTATAGATTGTTAGAGAAAGCAGAACATGGTTTATTGAGGTGCTTTGGGAAAAAGTAGATACTATATTTTGAGAAATCATCAAACAGAAAAAATAGAAAGTATGGTAAATGATATTTCTGATTGGTAGGAGAGTCAGTCTGATGTAGTGGACGGAGGATTGGATTACCACTCAGAAGCCAAAATTTGAATCCTGGCTTGAGCATGGGAACTCACTGACTTTGGGCAAGTCACACTCTCAGTATAAAAGGAAGACAAAGGCATCCCCCCTTTGAAGAAATTTTGCCAAGAAAACACCATGATAGGTTCAAAAGTTGAAGGCATATAGCAATTGGAGCAGGCTGATGTTTGTTTTACTGGACTCATTCTGCTCCAGGAATCGTTTGAAGTGTTTAGTTCTGTGGAAAAGCTGTTAATTTCTTTAAAAGTCACACAGTGGTTTAAGCTTTTCTGAAAATAATTTACAGCCTGAGAAATTATGAAAACTTGGTTCTTAACCTGTATGGCATATTGCATGCTATTTGATAACTGGAAAGTATGAATTAATTATATGGAGACAGGGATTATGTCTTATTTAATTATATTTGTTTTGCTATTTCCACATGTTGTTTTCTATCTACTAAAAAGGGATTGCTGTGATATACAATATGATAAAAGTTATAAAAACCATGAGGGT